TCATCATCATCATCATCATCATCATCATCATCATCATCATCATCATCATCATCATCATCATCATCATCATCATCATCATCATCATCATACAAAGCAGTGGTTTCTAGACTCTCAAAAGGCATCCTATGTAGGCAGAAGTTTGTGAATGAAAATTTAAGAGTGCCAGAATTCCTCTTAGCTAGTTAGGAGGCCAGGCTTTTTGTGCCTTACTGAGCCCACTCAACTACCTTAAGCAGAAAAAACAGAATATATTCTACAAATTAAAAAAATCTCAGTTTATGACTTTCGTTTTTACAGTGGTTTCTAGACTCTCAAAAGGCATCCTATGTAGGCAGAAGTTTGTGAATGAAAATTTAAGAGTGCCAGAATTCCTCTTAGCTAGTTAGGAGGCCAGGCTTTTTGTGCCTTACTGAGCCCACTCAACTACCTTAAGCAGAAAAAACAGAATATATTCTACAAATTAAAAAAATCTCAGTTTATGACTTTCGTTTTTAATAATAACTTATTTTTAAAATAGTTGTTGTCTTTACTACTTGTGTGCAAATGCCTTTTTGGTTATCCGTTCCGACGTAACATCTCATGGTAACAATTTGTGTTATTTTTTTTCAAAAAGTCAGATCAAATATCTCTCGATTTCTCCAAGCCACCTGAAAAATGTCCCCAGGTAACATTTTTACACAACAAGTAAACATGACTTATTTTAGCAAGTAACAAGAATACTAAAAACAAAAATACTCAGCGAGATTATGGAATAAGACCCTCTTCACCGCACATAGCAACGAAATATCACAAGCATTACATGCTTGTTAGATATTTTTTCCAAGCCTGGGGGGAATTCACTCTGGGGCAGAATTCTGGCCTCTCTGTGTGTTTGGCATGCACAGCCCTGTTCCCATCAATGCAACTGATAAGAAACAAGCAAGTGCTCAACACATAAACAACTCAGTGAGAGGGAAAAGGCGCTCTGTACATAGATGACAGCGGGGAGGGGGGCAAGAGTGACTGGAAGGTTTGGGGGGCTGCCCCTTACCTCCCCCTGTGCCTCAGCCGCAGCAATAGCATAGCCGGAGAAATCCTCCCACAGCAGTAGTGTCTCTTCCGTCTCCTCCCAGGTGAGGCTGTCACAGTCGTCTTCAAAATCGTACTCCCTCCTGAGAACAAGGGAATTGCAGATCAGCAGGGAGGCCTGCGACGGCTTTCCTTTTGAACAAGCCCGCTAGAACAGGAGCAGTGACTTGCTTCCATCTCCCCATGTCCTATGAGGGGAACAGATATGACTAGAGGAAAAGCCTCTGATCACATTTAAATTCTGGGATGTTGAGATCTGATACTCTTGGGTGACAAAGGATGAGAATAACTAAAACCTCATGATAAGACCGTCATCCTACCTACACCATGAAGTTGGTGTGTCACCATAAACACTTGGACGTTTGGATGGTGCAATGTGCTCAATAGCTACTTTACATTTCCGTAATACCCATGTGATAGCTAAGCTACCAAAAACCAAGCAAACAAACTACGAGCAAAGTTATTCCATCTCTTGATTAATATTTGGAAAGGCCACTGGGGGTTGAATTAGCTGCTTTATAGAGACCGGAGTGGCCACCTTGCTTAGTGGCTTGGCAAAACAAGAAACCAAGGCCTTCCTCTCCACACAACAGGCAGGCTGCACTCACAGCTGGTTCAGCATCCTTTGCATCTCTTCATTTATGCTCATAGCGGTGGTCTCGTCTTCCTCCTCCTCCTCCTCTGGCTTTTTGGAGGCCTCACTCTCAGACAGGGAGGTGTCCTCATCGCTGACCACCTTTCTCTCCCGCTTCCGCCCCACTGAACTTGGGACCTTAATGGGAGACAAGTGCAGAGACTACAGAACGAGGTTGGGTTGGAGGTCAGAAATGGTGGATGAGAAAATATGTGAGGGGAAAAATGGGATGGGGGAAGGTGACATGGAGACACAGAGCAGAACAGAACAGAGCCGAATGAATGAACGAAAGAAAGAAAGAACGAATGAACAAATGAAAGAAGGAATGAGAGAAAGAAAAAAGAGAGAGAGAAAGAGAAAGAAAGAAAGAGACAAGAAAGAAAAAAGAGAAAGAGAGAAAAAGAGAAAGAAAGAGAGAAAGAGAGAAAGAGAGAAAGAAAGAAAGAAAGAAAGAAAGAAAGAAAGAAAGAAAGAAAGAAAGAAAGAAAGAAAGAAAGAAAGAAAGAAAGAAAGAAAGACAGCAGTGGAAAGAAAGTGGGGAGGGGGAAGAGAGAGAGAGAGACGGACTTATTATGACCAGGTTAAAGATGGTGCGTTGGCTAAAATGCAGTCTTAGAAACCTCTATTTTAAAATCAAAAACTAAGCAGCTGAAGATGAATCTGATGAGGGATCACAACAAGGGAACTCAAATCGTACACCATAGATGGAGGCAGGAAGACAGAGCAGGACAGAAGTATTAAGGAGAGGGAGAAAAATGCCAGGATTTACAGTTAAGTTTCTTTTTATAGAAAAGCTTCTAACTTGCTTATCTTTCCAGCTGAATGAAAAAAACAAAACCAAAACTAACCAACTGCTTCTGTAGGGGAAGCAAGAGGAAAAAGAGTGAGAGAAAGTGCAAGAAAGTGAGTAAGTGGAAAAGACAGAAAAAAGAGAGAGAGAGAGAGAGAAGGGGGTGGGGAGGAGAGGAGAGAGACGGTGTTAGAGAGAGAGAGAGACACTTTGCACACCATGTCTCTCTCTGCAGCAGGGGGTCCCCCCAACTGGACCCTGCCAACTATGGCTGAAGAGACACCGGGGGCCTCCCTAAATCCTCAAGAGAGAAATCCTGGAGGCTACCCTCAAAATCAAAATGCCTGTCAGTTTCTCCCAAGTGACTGAGGCAAATGTGTGGAATGAGATTAGAGAGATGGGGGTCTTTATCTTTTGGACGGGATGCAAGTTTGATTCTTCAGTGAGTGACCTTTCCATACCAATAGGTCATTGGTGCCACTCACCTGAAACATTTTGATCATGTCCTCACAGTTACGCTGCTGGGCTACGTCACACAGCTTAGCGGTGATATCGATGCGTCGACAGATGTCCATGTCCACTTTCATGGCTTTCTCTTGGATTTTGGTGTCCAGCTCAGTAAGATTCTGAGGAAGAAGAAGGATATGGACGTTTGATAAGGCTTTTTCATGTTTGACAAGCACTTCGTGATGTCACATACTAAACATGTCAAATGTTTATAATTTATAGCCAGGCAGTCAAGCAGTCCTCTATGAAATATGGCTGTCTACAGTTGCTCATCTCTCAGTTCTCCCTAGTCCTGAAATAAAGTGGTAAGTATGTACACACATACACACACGTGCTTGCACCCACCCCCACCCCCACCAGCATGTACACTCACATTGCTCATCAGCCCCTTGAAAACAACCAGTTCTGCCTTGAGCTGCTCCACCTTCATGGCCAGCTCTTCCTGGCACGCTTCGGCTTCCTGGGCCTCCTAGAAGGGAAGGAGATGTACAAGTCAAAACATACGCGTGCACACACACACAGACAAACCCTGAAGAGAGACATGTCAGAGGGGTGGGAAGAAAGGAAGGGTGCTCACCTCATTCAGCTCTGTCACTCGGTCTTGCAGCTGAACCCGCAGCGTGTACTCCTCTTCCCACCTGGCAAGGCAAAAAGGACCGAGGACATGGCAGCAGGGGTTGATATCAGACTTTGAAGGATCCCTCCCACTGGTGAAATTGGGTCCTGTCACAATCAGCTTCATTTGGATCTATCCTCGAGAAGAGGGTTCTCTTTTTTTTTTTTTGGCAAGGAAAGCAGGAGATGCCTCTGGAATTCATAGCTATGACAGATGAGAAGCTCAGCCACATAAACTTAACTTGCCTTGCTCTGAATTTGCTGACAACTCCTCATGTCTTACTGGGTGCAGTCTGAGTACAGTAACCACAGACTATGTTTAGCAACTACAACAGACTCTCTGCCTCAGAATAAACTACACGGATAGATGATTCCTGCCTCTCCCTGCTGCTCAACGGTGTCCTGCCATTCGGTATCTGTCTAAGCCCATCAATTCTGGAGAAGCCAGAGATCTCTTCCCTTCTCCACAACTCTGCCTGGCACAGCTGCCCTTGGCTTATGGAGTGGCATTTCTCTACTGCCAGATAACCAGATTTTTATCCATATAGGTCATTCCACTGGTCGGAAATAGCCTTCGTTATTGTTCAAGCGACTCCATTAACCATCACGGGCAGTACAATGGGATGCCATGGACATAGGGAACCAATGCAACCAGAACTTAAGAAGATCAGATCTGCTGGATCACATTCATCAGGTAAAGATAGCAACCATTCATTCCAGCGTTTGGTTCTCCCAGTGGCCAAGATAATGCCCTGTTGAAGCCCAGAAGTAAGACAAGGCTGCAATAACAACCTCTCAACGTTTTCAAAGTAGTAGCTGTGTTAGTCTGTGCAAGCATATCAGACCCAAAAACAAAAAAAAAACAAAAAAAAACCCCAAGAGACCAAAACATTGTGTCATTTTTATTATCTGATCCCATGGACAAGACATCCTGGAGAAATTCCACCAACATTTCAATAATTTTCATCCTAACATCAACATCAGTCTGGACCAATCTATACAACAGGTTCACTTTATGGACACCATTGTGAAGCCACAATGCCTACATCTCAGCACCACGCTGTATCAAAAACTCTCTGATCCCTATACAGTACATACTTACATGCCTCCAGCTTCCAGCTTCGTCACACCACAAAAACTATTATTCACAGCCAAGTCCTTAAATATAATTGTACTTGCTCGAACCCACAAGATGGAGAGTCCTGACTCCACAGGTCTAAAAAAATGCATTTCTCAGACTACAATACTGATCCAGTATGATTAAAGAACAAATTAACTTACAATGCTTAGCACCATGCTGTATCAAAAACTCACTGGTCCATATACATACTTGCATGCCTACAGCTTCCAGCTTTGCCACACCACAAAAACTATTATTCATAGTCAAGTCCTTAAATATAATTGTATCTGCTCAAACCCACAAATGGAGAGTCCTGACTCCATGGGTCTACAAACTGCATTTCTCAGACTACAATACCGATCCAGTATGATTAAAGAACAAATTAACTGGAAGACAGACCCAGAAAACAACCAAATACCACCAATTGTCACTTTCAGCCCACAACTGAGACCATTATTCATAGTCAAGTCCTTAAATATAATTGTATCTGCTCAAACCCACAAATGGAGAGTCCTGACTCCATGGGTCTACAAACTGCATTTCTCAGACTACAATACCGATCCAGTATGATTAAAGAACAAATTAACTGGAAGACAGACCCAGAAAACAACCAAATACCACCAATTGTCACTTTCAGCCCACAACTGAGACCACTGACATGACATGCAGGAAGACAAACCCAGAAGAGAAAACAACCAAATGCCACCAATTGTCATCTTCAGCCCACAACTGAGACCACTGACATGCATTATAAATGATCTTTCTCCCATCCTTGACAAGAATACTTTGCTCTCCCAAGCCCTTGGTGGTAGACCTATATTTGCTTACAGACAATCCCCAAATCTCAAACAACTATTAACTAGAGATGGGCATGAAGTACTTCGTGTTGTGTCATCTAAGTCACTGGCCTCAGCTGTTATTATTTTATTTATTTCTTTATTAGACTTTTATCCCGCCCTTCTAGACAATGTCTTATCTGTTGCAGGTTCACTTCCACCACCTCCAGCCGGCTCCCCCAATGACCTCTTCCATTCCAGCAAGTGCACCAACTTCTTTTCTCCACCTCCTCCAGCAGCTGCCCACTCACAGACAGCTCTGCAGGAATCCCTGCTCTGCCCTCTCATCTGAGTGAGCTGCTGCTGAAGGAGGCGGAGAAGGGAAGTCCATGCTCCTGGTTGATGTACTGCTACTTTGATATGCCACTTAACTTTATTTAAAAACAATAAAAAAGGAAAGCCACCATGGTCCTCTGAAAGAGAGCTGCAAGAAAAGTTAGGGAAAGAGGCTATGTTGACCCCTTGGGCTCTGCCCCACAAAGAAACAGAGCTCCAGCAGAGACCTGGCTAAGGGGAAAGGCAGGAAAAAGGAAAGGGTTACCTCCCTTCTGTCTCTCCAACCTTCACCCCAATATTTTTCTCTCACACTGCAGCTGACCTCAGCTGGTGTTGCTGCTGCCTTCTTAGTTACAAGTAAACCAGGCAAACTTACTCATGAGCAAACTGGTTAAACCTTGCTTGTGAATAAACCTTCCTATATGTGGACCTGCAGCTTGGGAAAAGAGGACTGTAGCATGGATTCCAGTGTGGATGGAAGGCTCACTCAAGTGATAAGAACTTTTTATGTGAAGACTGGACCACAACAAATTTCCCAGCCTTAAGTGTGGGCCGGTGAGAACAATTATCAGGTGGGTCCACAGTTGGTTACAGAATTATATTCAGAAGGGGCTTATCCACACTTCCTTCTTAAACTGGAAAGAGGTAACTACCGGGGTACCACAGGGCTCCATTCTGGGTCTGGTGCTGTTCAACATTTTTATGACCCGGATGAGAGGGGATACAGGGAATGCTTATCAGCTTTGCAGATGACACAACATTGGATGGAATAGCTAATACCCTGGAAGACAGAAACAAAATTCAAAAATATGTCCATAGATTCAAGCACTGGGTTGGAAACAAGAGAATGAAATTAAAAAGGGGTAAGTGCAAAGTTCTACATCTAGGAAAAAGAAAACCAATGCACAGCTACAAGATGGGAGATATTTCACTCAGTAATGCTATATGGGAGAAGGATCTTGGAAATACCGTATGCCACAAGCTGAATACTGAGCCTACAGTGCAATGCGCCTGCAAAACAACAACAAACAAGGCAAATGCTATTATATCCTGTATTAACAGATTTAGTCTCCAAATCATGTGAAGCATTACTTTCCCTGTGTTTGGCACTGGTTAGGCCTCATCTAGAGTACTGTAACCAGTTCTGCACGCTGATCCTTGAAGATGGATGCTGACAAACTGCATCTAGGGTACAGTAACCAGTTCTGGATGCTGATCCTTGAAGATGGATGCTGACAAACTGGAACAAGACAGAGGAGGGCAACAAGGATGATCAGGAGATTGGAAGCCCAGCAGAGCAAAGAAAGGAAAAAACAGCAAGCTACAGCATGCAACTAAAGCCTGAGTATAGAACTGGGGCTGCTCTCTTTCCTTCTACCCTGGCGCAGGGAATGAACCTCACTTAAGAGAATGAACCTTTCCTTTCCCGATTCTACAGCTGTGGCACCATTTTGCCTTGCTTGAAATAAATGGAATTTTTCTCCCGGCAACTTCCAAGCCAAACATTCTGCACGCCAGAAGAGTCTGCCTGCTCACCAACTCCTACAGGGCAGAAACAAATTGGAGATTACTCATGGTTTGGGAAAGAACACAGAAAGCAAGGCAGAATATGGAGATGAAGGAATGGCTCAGGCATGGGGAGGGGAGGGCAAACATCTCTTAGGGAGAAATGCGTCACTTCTGCAAAAACATGTTTAGTTTCCTCCTTCCTCATCCCAGGATGTTTCCCCTTTGAAGATCTGTTTTTTGAGGCTGCATATTATGGATAAGGTATACTGATAATTATAGTACCTATTAAAAACTGAAAATTGGAGCTCTAAGATTAGTAAATCACCAAAACTGAGATCCAGCCTTCAAGGCTGCTTCTAGATTGGCTGCTCTTAATGTTATTAAACCATTGCTTTTCTGCAGGATTGCAATTGGCTTTTAACTTTATCAATGCTACTGCACATCTCCTGCACCGTCGTTCCACTACGCTCCATGGACGCCCATGGCAATGGCAGAGCTGTCATGGGTGGGGCAAATGATCATTCCTATTGCTTGAATAAAATGGAAATAATTTCTGAGCAATCCTAAAAATAAAGTCCCACTTGAATTCAAAATGGAACCAAATGGGTGCTTTGAACGAGAAAAGTTTATTGTTGCTTGAAGGGATCACATTGCTTAAAAAGCCACAGTCAGAATGCTAAACTTTTCACCATTTCTAAAGGCAATTTTACAGCTCTGTAGCACTTTTTCACATAAGTGATAATTTGCCAAGACGGACAGACACACACACACACACAGATGTGGAAATACATTTCAGTGCTAATTGAAATGCTGACTTAGAAAAATTAATAGGGTGGTTTATTTGACTCCCACTGCAAAGGTTATAATGGAAGTAATGAATTGTGATAGGCACAACAAAAACAACACACAAAAGAGTTATGCTTGAGGGCATTTAGACATCTTTCCCCTGAAAAGCAAGTTTCAGGGGTAAGATAAACAGAAATTATATTGCCCTCTATTCCAAAAAGATCAAGGCATCTCTTTGGCAGCCTTGTTCAAGCCCCTTCATCTCGACAGAAAGAAGCAAACGCAAAGTCTTTTTAAAATAGAAAAGAAAAGAAAATGAAATGTATGTTTCTGTGCTTGCAGATGTGTTAGTTAGTCAAGACCCAGCTTGACACAAACCATGTGCAAAAATCAGCCATGCATCATGTACCAGACATTATAATAGTACAATCTTTTACATGTAAAGGAAATCATCCATTTTTTAAAACTGTACTTCCTAGGTCACATAAAATTGTCA